CTCCTAGCATGCTGTCTAATCCTCTGTAGTGAGGGTAGATCACGTGATACAACTCCTTATATGGGCATCACGTGACACATCACAATCCTCTGTTAAAGCACTGTTCGGGCTGTACGAGTGTGCCCGAGCTCGTCAGTCTTTTACTGCGATTATTGTTATGCGATACTGTCAAGAGCCGGCAGCTGCTCTTCTGCTATTTGTTGGAGATAGTTGCGTTTTGGTGGAGCTTCGCGATATGTTCAGTCGATTTTCTTCTTGGTATGTCAGAAATACTAATGTTAATACTACTGTATTAGTCCAGACACAGCTGCAAGTTTTACTACTGTTCTCCGAGCTGAGTTTGTGTCATTGTTTTGAAACTTGAACCTTTTCAGTTTAACCTGGTGCTTAGAAATATGCCATATTTCGCTGACAGTACCAAGAAAGTTCATACTTATTTTACAGTGACGCTCAGCGCGATCATTTTCTGGCTTTGTCAAGATTTTTCCGGTTGAATTAACACCAACCCGAGCATTTAGTTGATGGATTAGTAATTAGAGTTCAAGCCTTTGGGCATTGTCATTCTCGAGATCTCATCAATTTAATTCAAAAATGTTCCCTCGTTTTTCGGTAGATTTTGTTGCGATTTAAACGACTGTCGGGCCTGGTATGAACGGATCTAATAATAATTGAAGAATTATGCCGAGTTTGGAAGGTGATTAATGATTATGAAATCGGTATCAAATATACTATTAGTTCTAATTATGATCACGTTATCTCTGTTCGCCAGATTTCCTTAAATACGGCATCTTTCCAGCTCTCCTCACAGTGTTTCCTCCTCTCGCGCTGGATAACAAGAAACGTATCCTAAGATATGTATCCTAGGAAGCTTATCGTATTTACTGAGGATGAAGTGCTAATGAGCATTGTGTTGAGGTGGTGATGATGATTACTCTGTATTGTTCAGGTACCTGGTGGACAGTGGTCCGTCCTGAGCAGGAGCAGCACGTACTGTTCATCATGTTATGTGAACTAAGTCGTCCTGAGCTGAGGCTGTCTTTCCAACACCTTCTGTACTTGAAATTCTGTGAACTAAGCTGATTTGGAACAGTCCTTGAGGCCTTGCAGTACAATATGTATTTGATATTCTGTGGTCTTACCTTTAAAGCTTTAATTATGGCTTTTGGTGCATTATCATTCGCTTTTAATTTGATTTAGGAATAATAGAAGCAAAACTTCCTCCTGCTTAAAAAAACTTGATCTTTGTCAAGTATAATGGCTTAGCAGGAATAGATATTTGCTTCAGATTGTATTTAAACCGTTCAAGAAGATATTAGATAAAATCTGTCGTCTCACTGTCGATTTCTAGTTGTTTGCTTATATTGTGTTTTGATTAAGGTTGGTTCACTTCAAACGAAGACGGCATTTTTGATTCAGCAGAAGCTTTTTGTTCACATTCATTATAGTTTTATGTTTTATGAAATTATTCTTAGAAAATACCCTGAATTTTAATTGGTTCGATGGCTTCCATTGTCATCAGTTCAATTTGATCTCGTCCAAACAATTGACTTAACCTTTTGTTTTAAATTTATATTCATTAATTTAATTGTTTTCGTTTATGGGTGGTAGATGTGCCTCACTTCTCAGGACTAAAGACGCTTTTGTTTAAAACCTGGATCACAACCTTTTTGTTGATTTGCAGTGAAAATTAATTTAATTGTTTTTAGAGCTGAATGGTGAAAAGTTCGATGGTTCACATGGCCATTAGCCCAATTTGATTTCAACTGAAGACTGAAGAGATATCAAGATTTTTATGTCTTTGTTCGCCGTTCAGGTTGCAGATTTTCAACATGTCCATACAATTTATTGAATCGTTAATACAAATTTACATTACTTCAATCGAGTTACTATGATGACTTCAGATTCACTAGAAAGGAATTATTTAAGTTTCATCGTCACTGCCATTGAATTCAATAACTACCTGGCTGTAATTCTGAACCTCAATTTGGAAGTATCAGTTTCAGTTGGCCGCTCCCATATTTAAGGGGAGTTAATAAGCGATTTAACTTTGTTGCGATGGACTATTATTACTACTATTACTACCACTATGGAGGCTGTTCAAAAATTTACTGACATTGAAGTTTTCAACTGGAATATCTCGAATAAACTTGCCTTTTATGGGTTTTTTATTCGAGGTAGAATCGGGAACATCGTGCCGGGCACCTTATGTTTATAGTAGTAAATCTTTCAAAGTACGAAATATCTCTTTAAAAGAGCATCCTAGGCACCTTATAGATATCAAAACGCATAAAAAAGAAAACAAAAACATCAACCATCCTCTAACTTCTTCCACTCCTCCCTATCTAAAGCTAAAAATCTAAGGTCTTCGAAATCAGTCAAATTCTTAAGTCTAATATCAAGATTTCTACTAGTCAAGTCTTTTCTAATAACATCTAATAAGTTTAAACATGGTCTACCCCGTCTCCCTTCCATAAAAATATCAGAATTTATAGCAAATAACATAGAGGTGTATGCTGGTGAGTCTTCCTGTCCTCTTAAGATATGTCCTAACATTCTCCATCGAAACTTAGAGACTCTCACAGACAAGGGAGTGACATAACAACGAGCATAGAGTGCCTCATTAGAAATAACCCCAGTATAGATAGTTTATAGATCTTTAAATCATCATTGTTTCTATTTGTTGTGATGCTGATATAGTCACTATTATTTTCCAACACTCGACTCCAAACACGTAATATTTGCTCGAACGGAATTTATCGAGCAATAATAAATGGATTCCTATTATCTTATTATGGAGTCGAAAAGATTTGCGGAACTCCACAATTTCTTTACAAGTGTCAACAAAACCCGAAAAAAGTCACATCTGCACCCTTTGTGCTCCAAATATTAGCATAGGTGCGATCTTACTTTACCGTTTACTTTAATTTCTGTGCTGGAAGGAATTATCAGCGTACTAGCGGCTTTTTCGTAAAAATTAAACTATTTATTATTCCCTTGAGCACTAGTGTTGAACCTGTTGGACGCGTTCTGGGTTGTCAGCCTTTTTGTTGACAGCCATGAAGTATAAACTCGACTGAATAGGACTTTAATAAATAATAAATTAGTAAATTTCTAAATAATTAAATACGTTACTGTCAATTAACTTTCAAGGAAATTCCCAGACAATAAACCCGACTGAATTGGACTTCGTGGAACCAGTATAATATCTATTCAATTATTTATATAATTATTTTAATAAATAAATACATTTTAAGATCATTAAATACTTCGTTGTTACTTTGTTAGGTACTTTAATATTCGAACAATTTACCGGAAAATGAACTTTGAGGAACCAAAGTAAAATCCATTTATTTATTTTTATTATTTCTTCGTTCGTTTCAAATCTGACCTTGATTAACAACCACACTAGTGTAAGTGCACACAGAACTGGCGGCAGCTTCCCGAGAACGTCTTTAGATAAACGCTTTATTGTCGAATCTGCATGACCCTCTTGCTGATGATTGGTTCTACTTCTATTGACACGCATATATTATATATCATATTATTATGTATATGTTGAATATCGTTATAATCCTTGTGATAGGTCTCTGGAGCAATTCAAGGCAGGTCACAGCTTACGATTCTGCCACAAGGGGCCATCATTGGAAATGTTTTGGTTGCGGTTAGGAAGTTTAAAACGTTTAAGACTTTTGTTTAGACGAGCTGGTACTTTATAGCAACTCTTGCTAACTCCAAGTGGCAAAACGTATCCGGACATTCTTCTATTAGCTTGTTACAAATCCTGTTTGCATTGAAAACATACAGAGTTAAGATTTTATCACGTTTTCTTCATGCTGGTGAACCACGTATCCAAGGATATACGTTGATGATGATTACTTTTATCCAATAACATTAACAACCGAATCATTTGGAGTCTGCTCCGATTGGTCTTTGAAGCAGTTAAAACAGAGTTTAAAGATTTATGAAGTATTTTCATAAGCATTTAGAACGGGTAATTAGCATGCTTAAATTGTTTTCAGACCTCATGTGACCGTCTGTGACCTTTCTTTTTTCTTTTAACTTTCACAAAATCTTGTTTACATAATATAAGGATTTAAAGAACTTGTTTTAATTGCTGTTAATCTCTCTCATCGTCTGACACACGGACGAGCCGTCTGCTGGGAAATAGTCTAATGGACTATTCTAATTGGTGACCAGTTGGTTGGTAACACCTTTTTCCGGATTGCATAATTAGCTTGCATTTTCTTACTCCTTAAATATGTTCTTTTCTATAGTTTCCTATGCAGTATTCACCAAGCATCTTCTTATGTAAACCTTCTTAAGCGGGTTGACGCGCTATTTATCTAGTTTGATTCTTAGTTTTGATGGGTTGTTTTTCTGACATGGCCTTTTTTTTCTCTTCTATACTACCACATCTGGAGGAAATTTTATAAACTGCTACTGTTACATAACTGAGTAAAAAATATTTAGAAACATTGTTCTAGTTATCCCATATTGATAAAGTTCCACATGAGTGTAGGGTGTATTATGCAGCAAGAACCATCTCCCTACCACCCACCATGAAACCATGATGTGCACACTCCTCTCCACCCTCCTACTCCTCCTCCCTTCTCCCCTCCTCTCTGAACTATCCTTCAAAGTCGGGGCTATCCTAGAAGTCGGGGAAGAAAACCAAGTGTGGCCGATAAAGGCAAATGAGACGCTCGAGTACGCCAGAGATAACATTTTGAGGGACCAGGGGATAAAGATAGAGTTAGAGTACATTCACGCAAAGTGTAACACCAAGACGGGGCTGATACAGAGTACTCGTAGGGTGGTGGACGTGGATCAGAGCGATGGAGTGGAGTAAGTTGTTATGGAAGGACGGAAATAGTCCGTTATGTGGACCGTCGGGGGGATTCAAATCTAAATAAGTCTAAACTGTTTGTTTGCTTCGGGTTGTAACATTTTCAATCGAAAGATGTGTTATGTTTTGTTGATATTAATCTAAATGTTTTCAGTGCCAGGGTGGACGGTTTCATTGGACCCGGGTGCTCTGAAGTCTGTAAGAACACTGCTTACATCGCCTCCAAAGAAGGCTTCGATATACCTATGGTACGTTAATTCAAATTAAACTCATGTTTAAGACTGTTACTACATTTATGGATTGTTTAAATTTGTCAAGTATTTTGCGGGCAACTACAAAGTTACAATGCCGACCAGCTATTAATAGATGGTCGGCATTGCAGTAACTATCTGTCATTTTTGGGTAATTAAATATTTAAAATCCCATCTAAACTTCAGATCTCGTATGCTTGCACGCTGGACAGTCTGAGTAACAAAAAGGAGTACTCTACATTCGCTCGAACTGTGAGCAGTGTCGGTGCCAACGGTGGCCCCATGGTTACTATAGTCGATCACATGGGCTGGGAACGGATTGGGATTATCTACAGAAATATCAACCTGTATGAGGTGGAGTTTTATAAGATTTATTTCTTTAAAAACTTCAAGTGTTTCAATGTTTCCTTAATACTGAATCCTTTTACGGTTGAAATTTGGAATCTTTAGTAAATAGGCTCGACAATTATAAAGGGTTCTTGAACCATAGAAGTGATACGGAAGTATGTCTGTAACTTTATTAATAAAGAGCTCAGCCTATAAAATAGAAACCCACATTCATAACTTGTTGCACAGGAAGCTGCTGCCGAATTGAAGAAGACATTAGAAAATGCCTTTGAGGGTGAAACCAACGACAGAATGCCGGACGGATTCAAAGTCGTGTGTTACAAAGTGTGGTATTTCGACGACACTGCAGATGCTACTGAGAAGGAGGCTACTGCTAAAGATATTCTTAAAGAATGCAAGGATGAAGTCAGAGGTAGGACCATAGTTACCATAGTGACTATAGTTACCATAGTTACCATAGTTACCATAGTGACTATAGTTACCATAGTTACCACAGTTACCATAGTTACCATAGTTACCACATCAACTTCAATCTGATTTCCGATGACATAAATATGTATTTCATACTCATCTATAGAGCTGAGAAAGACTGTAAATCCAGCCACGTTCTTGTATGTGATATTTGTGCACAGCTTTCACAGCATGCCACTCTGGTATGTTTAGCAACCTTCCTTGTGTTGGTTTGTTTATCATAATATGAGAGCGGGATATAAACACCTTAATTCATTTTATTTTTATTTTCAGTGTTCATGATCCTGGCTTACGACTCAGATGTTATCCTTTTCTTGAAGACCGCTCACTCTACACCATCTTTCCCTTTTAAAGAGAGCGCTTTTATCTCACTTGAAGTGACCACAGCCACGGTTAAGAATGGTAGGTTGGAGATTTGCCCTGGAATCATTGCTTTCGAATAAATTATAAAATCGATGATATCGTAAAAATTCAGATTTAGGTATGGACATGCAGAGAATATTTGGAGAGTTGACAAATATTTTATGCTTATATTTTAATAACGTTAATGATGGGCAAACACACAGTTATATAAACTAATAGGTCTGGTTACCATTGTGTCAAAACTAAAATCAGCCGTCGGTATACTTTATTTGATTAAACTTTTGTTTGATTAATCACTATGCCTTCCTTCCAGACACACAAAAGTACACCAGGGGCTTACTATCGCTCAGTCAGAAGAATCCCAACAACACCATGTTCCAAGATCTGACTAATAACGTTCGCAAGATCACAGGAAAACCCGACATCGTTGTAAGTTTGTCCGGTAGAATCTTCACTAGCTTATTTTCTGAATCAGGGTAAGGTATTTCATAAGGTATTATTTGAAGGGCTTTCGAAACCAAGGGTACCGAGGGTGCAAGTGTTGAAATTCAAATTAGCAAGATTAATTACTTTACTAATTCCTCAGTTAGACGTGTACAGTGCGACTCTGTACGACTCACTACTGACTTACGCTATGGCAGCCAAAAAGATCAAAGATGATTACTACTTAGAGAACGATTCGCAAGAGCTGGCAGTAAAAGAGGCCGGTGCTAAGAAACTCATTAAGAACGGAACAAATATGGCTCAGGTTTGTGAAGCAGTAGAGCAGGAAGTTTAATGTATGAATTCATTATCTCATCATGTGCACAAAAATTACTAAATGGGCGTGCGATTGATTTCAATGATTTCATTCTGTTTTGAAGAAAATAATTTCGCAAGTTAAACTTTCAGTCTTTATACGGATGATAGCTACTTCTCAGGTGCGGATCGCAAACATGATAACTAAACTTCTTCTTAATCTTCACTAAATTTTGATATTTTAGGTAATATCAACACTGGACCTATTTGAGGGAGCATCAGGACAAGTGAAGTTTGATGCTAATGCAGACAGGAAGACCTCTTTGGAAGTGTTTCAGGCTCAAGTTGTGGACGGCACCATCTACTTGGTCCCTATCTTTGAGACGGACTCCACTGGCAAGCTAAAGTTGGTTCAGGACGCCACTTTTCAGTGGAACGACGGTTCGGATGTAAGTTGGAAGTACTTTTTATTTGACTGCACTCAAATGGAACCAAATCGTTAATTTTAAACGGTTATTAGATGCAAGAGAAGTTTGTTACTAGAAACGTTGTTATATACTTATATAAGGACAGTGTACATATCCGAAACCGTAATTCGTTCTAGTCTGTATATTTACGTAATGGTTCCACACAGGCAGTTGTTAAGGAGGCCTTTGTCATTTTTATCCCATAGTGTAACATTTCTGGATGTCCCATTATTTAACACATTGGTGATAAATCCGACATTTTATCTACAGGTTTTGATCCAGGATTATACTACTGTAGGCCCAGTATGTAAATAAAAGCCTAGTAGTGACCAAGTGACCCTTAATTAATCTTCACTTGGTCACACAATTAATTAAAATTGATTATCGAATCTTCTTTCGATTTCAAATCCCGTACCAAATTTTAATGAATGATTAGCCCATTGATGTATGGGATATTATTAATATTAGGATTAGAATGATAATCAAATTCACACAGCATGTAACACAAGAGATTATTCGCAATTAAATAGGTTCCTATTAAGGACAATCTCAGCAAAGTTTCATGCACCACCCATACATTTTCGCTCAGAAGATACGATTTCTATTTCTATTTCATACTACTATTATTTGAATCATTTGGAGATAAAAAGTTGTGATTGATTGCACTCATAATTACAGCCCTTTAGTAAAAATCCTATAATCTTACGTTAGAAAAATCCTTATTTATTCACATAAATCCGTAATTCTGGCTGACAATAATAAGGTACGGTCGATTTACAAATTAATTAATTAATTAACTCTTATCCCTCCGCAGAACACACCTTCAGCATGTGGTGATGGCAGAGAACTGTGTACGGAGCCTGATATTCAGAAAACAATCCTGCTGGTGACCCTGCCTATAGGAGTAACCCTCCTGGTAATTGTATCAGTTCTTATTGTCTTTCTTCTGTGGAGGAACAAGGTTCAGCGATTACAAGATCGGTGTCTCTGGAAGATCCGAAGCTGCGATGTTGAGTTCAAGGACGCCGCGGCGCAATCCGGCAGGTATGACGATCTCTTTATATACCATAGTTCTTGCATTTCTACCAACCTCCATTCAAAATGATTCTTCCCGGCAAATAAAAGATTCCAATAGATTTTAGTTGTTATTTGCACAAATCTGCTATGCAAATGGTCACTGTGTCCTGTAATATAAGACCAATTACGTAGATTAATCTGACCAAAATCATTGTTCTGCAGGTTCAGGTCAGTCGATCGGAGCATGTCCCGAATGTCTACAGCATCTGATGCCACTCTCAACCATGGTATTGTCGCGTACTACAAGAACAATCCCACCTTCTTGAAGTATCTCAACACTGATATTAAGTACTTCACTGTTACAGATGAGATAATTCTAGAGTTCAAGCAGGTATTAACCAAGTTATATCTTAGTTATATTTATATATCAATAGATAAAACCTTGTTTGAATTCTTTTCGACAGTGTATTCTAAGGTGCATGGTATTATCTCCTGCTTAGTTTAAAATTATACTCACATCTGTGAAGTGCACATTGCGACTAAACACGTTCTATTCACCACAGGTCAGAGAACTGACCCACCAGAATCTGAATCCCTACATTGGGTCCTGTGTCGAGGTGCCAGACAACTTCTTCCTTGCTTCTGTTTACTATCGCAAAGGAAGTCTACAGGATGTCCTCTCTGATTCAAACCTCAAATTGGATGACATGTTCAAGATGAGCTTTATATTCGACATTTGCAAGGTTTGTTGAGATAGTTTCAGTTTTTGGCACTCAAAAATACGTTTATGAGAAAAAGAAAATAGCTACTCATTTGAATGCTAAATGAGGTAGAATCGGGATTCATAATTTACGATAATGCTTTACAGGGTATGCAAGCTATACACAACTCACCTATAAAGTTTCACGGTCGATTAAAGTCCTGCAACTGTGTAATTGATTCTCATTGGGTGCTAAAGCTTACAGATTATGGATTAAGGAAGTTCTTGTCTTCATATGCTTTAGTAGATCCCCTCAAATCAGAAGATGGGAAATTCTTTGGTAAGTTTAGGCCATTTTTAATTTACAAGAATTTCATAAGGCTCTATATATATACGGTCTCGATATTGAGGGTCACAGCGAATTTAGGTTAGACATTGCAATCGTTAAATTAGTTGGAAAATGAATGAATAATGAATAATAAATGTCCTCATTCCTCATCAGATATGTTATGGATGGCTCCAGAGCATCTGAGACAAAGAGAAACAATCCCAGAACGAGCGATCGGATCTCAGAAGGGAGACATCTACTCTTTTGCTATTATCGTATCGGAGATCATGTCGAAAAATACTCCATACGGAGATGTAAATTGTTCTGCTAAAGGTACAGTTAACATACAGTTTATAACTGTATACTCCAGATCACGTCGTGAGATCTTAACACTCTTTGAAAACTTGTCTTGTAAAAATGGTTTGTAAAGCAAATCGACTGATCATTAATCCCTTTTTCAGAGATAGTGATGAAGGTCCAGGAAGGATATGTGCCACCGTTCCGTCCTGACATGCCGCTGGAATGTACTGAAGGTTTTGCTGAATTAATAAAAATGTGTTGGGATGAACAGCCCTTGTCAAGACCCGACTTCCCCAAGATTCTAGCTTTCTTACACGTCCTTCAACCTCAAAAGTAAGATTTTAGTTGAATTCCTCTACTCCGTTTAACAAAATAAATTCTAATGGGGGTTTTGAAAGATTGATTTCAGATAATCCCTCAAAAATATATATGCCCTCCGAACGCCTTAATTTGTAATACTGTGCCCGAAACGATGTCACATAAATTTATTCGCTTTACAATCACAGTGGACGGTAAGACGATTAATTTTGGAACATTTTCATCCAGCTTGTAAGAAGGACACAGCATTTCGTTATCTACATTCTAGTTTGAAGCCACTTGAATGATGAGTACCATCGACTTCATTTGGGTGGCTGCTATAAAAGGAACCTCTTCTGTTGATCTTATTTTCAAAACTGCACTAAAATGTTCGTAGTTGATGAAATAGCAGATACACCGTATCTTATCTCTATGGCTTTCTCTTTTATTTTGTCCCGCTCTTCCATTCTTGCATTGTTCCCATTTTTGAGTTTGGTCAATTTACAACCCTAGTATTTAGTAACCGTCTTACTTAACATTTCTGGTTACAATTGCGTGTTTTTTGTGTGCCAAAAGCCGTTATGCCCTTTTGGGTTAATGGATATTGCTACTTGCTTACTTGGCGAGCACAACATGGGTGACAGCTGGTCTACACCTTTCATAACCTTTAGAGCTTTAGTATTAACTTATATATATTAAGGGATTTAGATATTTACTATACTTCTCGTAGACAATGACAGAACTTGGTGGGTAACAGCTTTTATATTTTAGGCAGAGATCAATAACTGATCGAATGATAAAAATGATGGAACAATACACTGATAACCTTGAGGAATTGGTTGCTGAGCGGAGTGAACAGCTTGCCATCGAGAAAGAAAAAGCTGACAACCTTCTATGTAGAATGCTTCCGAAGTAAGATAATTTTGAAATTTAAAATTTCGTCCGTAACCTTTGGTTGCCAATTTTATTTGTTTAATTGTCACTTTCTCCCTATTCCTGATTAAGCCGGTCATACAAAAATAATAACTCTCTAGTATAATAACAGGTACTACTTATCTTCAGGCCGATAGCAGAGAAACTGAAGCAAGGAGAGCCAGTCGCCCCTCAGGCTTATGATGAAGTTACGATATATTTCTCAGATATTGTCGGATTTACAGATCTCAGCTCTCAATCAACACCATTCCAGGTTACAACAATTTGCTCCCCTCCTTCTCTCTGATCCATCGATACACTTCATTTACTAATTAACCTTTAGCAGTCACATTATCTCCTAAGTTGAATCTTGAATCTACTATTTTCACGAACTTATCTTTATTTTGATAACTCCTTTACCTTATGGCTTACCTCCTCAACAGGTTGTGGATCTACTAAACGACCTATACAGTCTGTTTGACGGTATAGTAGAACGTCACGACGTGTACAAGGTGGAGACAATCGGGGACGCGTACATGGTAGTCAGTGGCCTGCCCGTCCGGAATGGAAACAGACACGTCGCTGAGATAGCCAATATGAGTCTCGACTTTCTTAACTTCGTCAAGAAGTTCAAAGTGAGGCACAAACCTGATGTTCAGCTCAGATTGAGGATAGGATTGCACACTGGTAATAACCTTCCCATTACCACTACCAGGCTGTCCGTCTGTTTCACCTGAAGTGTAAACTAATTTTGAACTCTTGTCGCGGACTTTGGTATATTATACCGTATACCAGCTTCACTTTCCTCGTGTTAAAACGGAAAACCCGTCGTAATAATGAACATTTCTGTAGGTTCAGTGTGTGCCGGAGTGGTAGGACTGAAGATGCCTCGTTACTGCCTCTTTGGAGACACCGTCAACACCGCAAGTAGGATGGAATCTAACGGTCTTCCTCTTAAGATTCACATGAGTGACGACGCGTACGATGCCCTCTCAAAGATCGGAGGCTACGAGCTGGAGTCTAGAGGGGAGATAGCTATCAAGGTAAGACTCAAAATATTCTTCAATATTCTCCGCACTTTACTAACTTAATAGTCAGTCGCAGCAGAGTGAGGACAGGCTCCAAATTAGGTTTGAAAATTAGAACTTGTTTTACTTTTAGGCTGCGTTTAACTTCTCGTCCAAAACTTCAGTACCTTGCGTTAATTTCTGACACCAACAAGGATGTTAGAATAACGTTTACAGATACTACCGTTGTTTGAGGCATACCCAGTGTGGGATCATTAATTTGTTTTTTGTTTTCCTTTTTTATTCGCTTACTAAAGAATGAGTTCATTTGCCATTCTTTGGCTGTTATTTATTTAATGCATGTGTGTTGTATGTGTTGTAACTTGTACGATGTGTTGGATCGTAGAAACCTTGGCCGTATGTTTTTGTTAAAAATGTGTTTCATGTTTAGCATGAATTTGGTATTACTGTCGTAAATCATAATAATATGTCATGTTGTATGAACATTTAGATATTAGAAATGTAAAATGTGATATTTGAATTGTGGTATTTGAATTGTGATATTTGAATTGTGAAATTTGAAATGTGCAATGTGAATATCGTTATGAAGCATGTATTGAATTAAGTTTGTTTCCTCAAGGGAAAAGGTCAAATGAAGACCTGGTTTCTACTGGATAACCCAGAATCCGAGAAACTGCGAACACAGCCAGTATTTTCTCAACAAACCTCCGCTATACTTGAGAATGGCGTAGTAGTTCCCAGTCCCAGTCCTAACAATATAGCTAGGACTGGTCGGCCCAATTCGGGACGTCCCAATAGAGAGAGCCGTAGAGCCCGCCGCCCCCTTACCACTCACGACTTTGCGGATGAAAATTACAGGAAATCAACCTCGAAACTTCTCAAAATTTTGTAGCGTGAGTATTGGAGCATGACATGAAATGGATATATGTTCGATTCGAGCCTGGGTGATTATTATGATCCGATGTTTGGTGGAACAAGATTACAAACGTGACTTGATGAGCGTGAGCACAATGATTCTACGAGGGATTTGCAGCCAGCAGCACCACATGATGGTCTTGTGGTTTCAGAAATTATGATTATAAATTAATGATTGTTATGTTCAATGGGATTCTGTATGATATTGATTCAGTTTCTTCCGATTTCTTTTTACAGCCCAATTTTGGTGTTTATTTTCCAGTAAAGGGTTCTGGTTCATTGGAATAGACAGATTGTAACCTCGAACAACCGATAATTATTGATTAGAGGAACGGACACAGCATTTATTGCCATAACATTACCCTAATCCTTTCCATAATTCTAACCTTTACTCTAACCATAACGGTTTTTCTTAGTGGTCGAGCTTCTTGAGTTTTTGGATAATGCCAACAATCTACATCAATTCCATCATATACTCTGTTTACCATACGACAAGTGTATCCGTGATCGGTACTGTTGTAGGCTCAGTGCACAGAATCCCCTGTATTGAACAGTTGACATAATATCCTAAACTACTCTCTCCCACAGGGAAAAGGCGTGATGACCACGTGGTTCCTCCTTGGAAAGGAGAAGAAACTCGAGGAGTCCCAGCTCCTTACAACCCTGCCCACCTCCTCGGAAAGCAACAAATCACCGTCGCCCAATATCGTCAGATCCAGGTCATCAAGTCGGAGAAGCGTAAAGAGAGAACGGCCAAAGCAAGCTGTTGGGCCCTCAGAGACTATCATATCAATAGACGGGACTGCTGTTTACAAAAATAAGTCAGCTGAAGACTCCGAACAGAATGATTCTGGTCAGAGAAATAATGGTCACAATAACGGTTTTCTACCATCGGTTAATGCCTGATACCACCTCAGCATATGTGTCAACTTGGTCACACAAAATTAAACAAAGCTAGGATTATTTTTACTAAAGCTTAAGGTCCTACCTACTTATCTGAACAGGAGATTCGGGAATCAAGAGTTAAATATGACAGGATCACCATTAAATGTAGATTTACGAGGAAACTGTTGATTAAACTTGCTCGAGTTTTAATGCTATTTATTGTTTCAGAATTTATCAAAACCTGTTTTGTATTGTTGTTATATATTTTGTCACTCTGATAAGTGGAGTTGTGTTTTTACTACCGCAATCTGAGATATCTTTGAAGTATGAATTTAAACACTGACTCTTAAATATTTTAACCGATGTGTTTATCTTTTCTGGGGAAGTGATACAATGCTTGATTACTAATCAAAACAGGTGCAAGGATCTGAATTCTGATGAATAAGCATTATTGATTTAGCATCGCTATTATACGATAAAATGATAAATAAGGGCGAGGGAACGTAAGGTTCAGGAAGAATATAACTGGGTGAGGCTATAGCCGGGCGAGTGGGACGGAGAAGGAGGAGGCTGTTCTTTGTCCTAGGACCATATCTGCTCTTTAATAGGGATTACTTATTAACAATGGGACAAGAATGATTACCCAAGTTAGGTACGGAGATAACGTGGCTGACGATCAAATGTTAATTGTGTTTATAATGATATTCACCATCCAGGATTACTGTGTTTGCTATTGTCTAAGGTGTGTAACCGTTTAAAACTATGGACATAGACATGACTAAGGAGACGCATTATGTCCTTTACATCCTCGTTAACCTGAACTACTCTCCCAAAGTCATTTGTATGACTTGCTTGTCCTTTCAGTTTCATAGGAATTCAAGCGTTAGGCTTGGTCAAAATACGATGTCTGAACACTGAAGTCATTATTCTAGTGATTTCTTCTTGGTGAATGCTAGCATTAGCAACATGTCCTGTGCAGCCTCATGCATAGTGAATAATCATTAGCTCTCTGGTGTATAAATTTGAAGGAAGAGGTAACGGTTCATTGATCGGTCTACCTGTTCAGGTTCATATCAAATAAGATGTTGAAACTCATTACTCATTACATCTGTTAAATGTTCACTGTTCAGAGCATTCATTTACAGGCTCTTGCATAGGCATTAGCAGTAGCACAAGCAATGGGCATTAGCAGGCTTGCCGTTCGTTGCGCGTATCCTCAGTGCAATTACAACTCTCTCCCTCTCTCTCTCTCTCTCTCTCTCTTGTAGTTGTACCCTGCTCTGTGGAGCCTGATGTGGAGCCTGTAAGGTGTGTATTTGTTCATCGTTATAGCGCTGCTCTTGGTAAAGTTTTTGTGAAGGATACTATACAGTATACATTTACAATGGTGGTGCACATTGCACAATGACCATTGTCCTTATATAATACACCAACTTGTATCTGCAGCGACGCGAGGGTGTTAATCTCCATCGTTAATGTTGCTGAATTTTGATGTCGTTATAAATAGTAGAGTTCCAGCTTTTAAGTTGCTAATGTGTCCCACCGATTACAGATTATATTTATATGTTATCAACTGTCTGTGCTTCTGTGTTCTGTTATAGAATAACATTAGTTCCAGTAGCCTTTGCTAGATCTTATCGTTTCCTGAACGATTCCGAAGCTGCTCATATACTGGTTCGTTAGTAAGGGGTCGTTCACACTTCACATATTACGTAATCAGCCGAGGGGGATTTCCAAATGATTACGGTAGTGTAATTTTGACACAATAGCTATGTGTAAAACTGATTACGGAATGGGGGGGGGGGGGTTAAAAATGGGCCAAAAAGTGATTACGTAATATGTGAACGACCCCAGGACTCCTAATGAACATTTAATATCATGATATCACCTGCGTGACCCTGCATGCAGGTGATGTGGTCTATGTTAGATTCTTAGGTACCTAAGGTAGACTACATTACGTGACTCTAAGTCTAATCTGCATGTTAATGAAGGTGACATTGTTTCGTCATCAGTCATGTACAGTTACACGGCCAAGCCATCTAGTCCACTTAATTATCTGCCCTTTAACATCCCTGCAATAGTTGTTATCTCACTCTTTTGTCGGTTGGTTGAAAATATGAAATCATTTATCACGGAAATCGTGATCTGAAAATTGTATCGCGATCGGAGGCAATTGAAGTTGAACTCTCCATGTCGAACCATTGCTAATTATTTTGTGTATTAAACCTTATTGTTGGGGATCGTTCACACTTCACATATTACGTGAGCCAGCCAAGGACTTTTGATTCACTATCAGTATCACATTGTCAATTGCATTTGTTGTAAGTAAAGTGGCTTACGGAGAGACGATGGGTGGTCTGAAATTGCCCAAATCTGGCTTACGTATATGTGAACGTTACCTGGGGACCTCAGGCTATCAGGTTCATAATAGAGATTAGGCGGAATGACAGGCTGAGCGCGGCCCAGTAAATGCAAAATGCATGAACGATCCCTTTTTGTTTTTTGTTAGACGCTGCCCGACTTATTATCTCATCGATGAAAGAGCGGGACCATGGAAGGGGTGCTTATATTTATAAAGCCGTATAAAAGTATAAAGTGTCCTTAAAATATTATCATATTATTTGATATTAACATCGAACACCCAAGTGCAGTTGAATTGTTGAAAATGAAGTCGCCTCGGAGATAGAAGTTCATTAAAATTTCACTGAAGTAACGACATTTGATATCCACGGTGTTGTGCGGAACACCGGAAAAAAAAGTAAGTTGAATGCTCATTTTCAACGAGCGTGCTAAATCACTTTGCAGTTTTTTGCTGATATTTCGCTAGGGGAGCATTTTAACCCTATGTCATGAGGGGTGATTCGGAAACAGCGTGCGAAAATGCATTGAAGCAGTTAAGTTTCGACTGTCAGGGGCCTTTTTAGAAAAGTCTCGAAGACAGACTGTAGAGTGATTTAGCACGCTCGGTCGAGTGTAGAGTGATTAATCATCATCCCATTCTCAATTCATATTTCAAATCGTGGAGTTTTCTAGGTTTCTAAATATTCTTTCATCAAGACAAAATTCACGGCAGCATTTTGGTAATGCATGAATAAATTAAAGTATTTAGTGTCGTCAGCCCAATATGTTATATATTTATAACTATAAGAACTAAGAAGGGTATTTTATTTGTATAGAGCGTTTAACGCCCCAAATACAAGTTTGTTGCTAGAACAAAGCATTGCTTTGGTTTTGTCTTCTAAGTGAACACTGAACAATGTGTTTGTAAAGTTACTGTTAGTGTGTTAGAGATGTGTGTTAGAGATGTCTGGTATACCAGACACCCATTATGTAATTATGTCGGTAAGTACCTTAGTACCAACATCCAGCCACGCGCCAAGTGGGCGACATTGCCTTTCCATGTGCCACAAAGTGACACGAGATTAAGATGTTAACCTTGGTGTGCCACAAAGTAATGTAAGGTGGAGATGTTAAACTTGGCATGCGCCTTTCTTTATCTTATAGATAAAAGCAAAAATAAACGTTAATGAGGCCGAGGGCTTCTGAAAAAGTAACCCAGCAACTTAGTGACAAATGGAACTTTTAATTGACTTATAGAAATTGTATTTCTTCATCCTAGTTAATTTATAGCCGTAGATTATATTTTGTAGCAATGATTAAGCAATACATTCACAGCAGGTGACTAAGCGAGACATTGCGATGGAATCAGTATCGAAAGAAGATGCAAAACAGTGCTTTGCCGATGACGTAAGTTTTACTATTATAGTTGCGATAATGCTAAATTTAAATAACTTCCGATTGCGAAAATTAAATCATTTCAAATTATTATTGATAAAAGTTTCATGTCACCTTCCGAATAGGAACAAGAAAAGAAGTTAGACGAAGAACAGGTCGAACATGATTTAAGCTAACTGTTCTTCTTTCTTCTTATCTATCTACTACCATACTATTACTATTATACTACTTTTAACGTTCAATTAGTCCATTTTACAATTCTTCTCACATCCTAAATGCTTTGAATATCAAACCTAATCTTTTTGCTTATTTTATCTCAAATTCTTGCTGTTGTATTTCAATCGTGTTTATTCCAAACATCGCGTATGCTAATTCATATTTTCTGCTTTAACTTTCGCCCTATACTGGTTCAAGAGATCGTTAGTGCGTTACGTGAACGTCTAGGGGAGGTTATGGAAAGTTTTCCGTTGAGTGTACTTACTAGAGAGTTAGTATTACTAAAGAGCAGCTAATACCTATGCGTAAAATGGCCGAGAGGGGAGTGGGAGGTCTTGTATGGCCGAAATCATGCTTACGTATTATTCGATTTTGAACCATCCTTAATTATGTTTAACAATAACGGCGATTTCTCATTGAGTCATATCTGAACTCTGAAGTCTGTTGATAAGTTAAATTTAATCTATAATCTACGACAATTTGATGACTACAAACATTTAAGACTTAATAATCAATTTGAGCATATCTGTCTATATTTATCCAAAATCTTGACATTCCCAAATTTAATCCAGGAGAAGGTGGCCTTTGTGAGGTGGATAAACAAAAGATTGAAGAATGATCGATATCTTACAAAAAATTACTTTAAAAAGTTCCTGCCTCTCAAGGAGGAAGGTGATCACTTCTTTGATATGATAAAGGATGGCATTCTTCTCAGGTAGGTAGATTTCACGCACATGATATAGATGAATCTATTGATAGCGAAACTGATAACATATTTCCAACTATTTGCCATACATAGATTTTAGAGTAAATTTTATCACAGCTTGAAACTAGCTGGAAGGGTTTGTAGTCCCCCAGCATAACAACATGTGTTTTATTTGTTAGTGTTCTAATACATCCTACAATCCAGTAAGTTGATAAACGACTCAGTTCCTGGCTCAGTGGACGAGAGAGCCCTGAACTATCCAAAAACTAGACCGCTCAACTACTTTATGATGCTGGAAAATCAGAACTTGGTCCTGAACTCGTGTGTTGCCATAGGTAGGCTGAAATATATTTACGTACCTCATCAGTCATCGGCTCTAATTTTACAGACCAAGAATTTTTTTCGGTCCTTTATATATTAGTATTTCGGTCCCATATATTAGTATGGTCTAAGTATCATGGTTCTCTTAAACATTTGAAGCTTAATAAAAGTGTTGAAATTGTAATTTTTAGATAGAGGTTGTTTCCGTAAAACTAAATGGGATGGCAGAAGTTTTATTTTTAAATTTGTTATTCAGAAGTGTTATTTTGACAATGATACTTTGCGCAGGTTGCCGCATAGTTAACATCAAACCTGAAGATATGGTTGACGGAGTTAAACAGTCCCAGCTGAACGTAGTATGGCAGGTAATTAGAGCCGGACTGATGGCTCACATCAACCTGAAGAGTTACCCCGGACTTAAGATATTGCTCAATGAGGGAGAAACTGTGGGTAAGATAACTACCATGATGAAATTGAATAGCTGAATTAGAGTCCTGCTCTAGATCATCTTACTCGTTTCATTTTAGTACTCAACATTTCAATTTGACCTAACTAGCTGATTTGCATTCTGAACCCAAATATTAACCAAGCTCCATTCAATTTCAGCTAAGTTAATGGCAAAAACTCCAGAAGATCTCCTGGTACGATGGGTAAACTTTCATATGAGGAGGGTGTGTGACCACAAACAGATCAAGAACTTTTACAAAGACATACAGAATGGGGAGGCTTACACCTACCTGTTCACCGCTATCGCACCTCAAGACACCGACCTTCTTCCTCTCAGGGTCAGTTTTACATTCTTCTCATTTCCTTCCTTAGTGTTATATAAATAACAATATCAGTTCTGTTCTTGAAACTAACTTTTTTCTTTTCAGTTGTTGTGTATATGTAAAATGTTTTATGAATGGCCCCTATTAGCCGCGGCTTTACTTATTGTATTCCAGGAGACTGATTTAGAAGACCGAATGGACATGCTCCTTGAATACGCAAGAGATCTTGATGTATTAAACTTCGTGACTCCCCGAGACATCATCAAGGGTAACATCAAGCTGAACACGGCGTTTATTGCTCAACTTTTCAACGCTTTTCCGTCCTTAGAGGTAGATGATCAAGAAGACCAAATTGATGATTTTGATGAAATGCAGTACAACGATCAAACAGAAATGTTCTTTGAAGAAACTAGAGAGGAAAAGAGTATGTTTAAGATTATTAGATGATTATTAATTAGTTGATTTAAGTTTGATTATTTGTTAAAATATGCTAGATTTGAATGATTGTTCCACTATTTTGAATATTGTCCACATCTAATGTCCTTTGAAAGAGATTGGGTGACTGTTTCACGAAGTTGCAACACTTTCACAGGTTTCAGACATTGGTTGAACAGTCTCAACTTCACACCGTACGTCTCTTACCTTTACGAGGACCTAAAAGATGGCTACCTCCTATTACAGGTGATAGCATCTATTCTAAATTCTAGTCATTATATCCATTATAAATATCAAAATGAGTGTTTTTGTGAAACAACCTGTTTTTAATACGACTTCTTCTCAGGTTTTCAACGTTTTGAAGCCAGGTATGGTGAACCAGGACGAGATAAACGTCCCTCCCTTCAAACCTCTCCAACAAGTGTACCACGCAGTGGAGAACTGTAATTATTGCATCACGCTGGGAAGTGAGCTGGGATTTGTACTCGTCGGAATAGAGGGTTAGTACTTATCTTAAGGGTCGTTCACATATTACTTAATCAACCGAGGGGGGAGGGGGGTTTCCAAATGATTACGTTAGTGTAAATTTGACACTGATTACGGGGGTAGGGGGTTACAAATTGTCCAAAAATTGATTACGTAATATTTGAACGACCCCTTACCTGGTGTGACATTCCCTCTGTTTGTATTCATTTCACTTTTGCTCCCTCAGAGAAGCGACAGACTCTTTTAAATCTGGGAAGTATGGTATTCCCCAATAGGGAGAAAATGTTGTTGTGTATCGATATATCATAGCGTAATGATATCTTCAGTTTAATAAGTGCCATGAGTTTAGACTTCCCTGCAATATCGGGGTTCATGAGATCTTAACTCGGATATATTAAATGACAACTTGAACTAAGGAGATGTAATTCCACCACGACCAGATAACAAGATGTGTTTTCAAGGTAACAATATCTACGAGGGTAACAAGTTGTTGCTGTCCCTTCTCTGGCAGATGATGCGGTATTATACTCTATCTCTTATGACGTACGGTGACAGTGACAAGAAACTTACTGAACAGGAAGTCATCGAGTGGTGTAACAAGTCAGTCTCTCGCTGCAACCTCTTTTATTATTACGTTATTCGTCGTTAAAGTAATTTGTGTGTTTATAATTGTTAGATCTACAAATTTTATTAATACAATGGAATTTAGCGGCAATAATTGAATCTTAAAGATTCGAACGCAGCGATTGGAATACTCAATGCAGCACAATTTTAACCAGGAAGCTGAAGGAGGACAAGGTGAAGAAAGGTCGCCATGTTTTCAGGAACTTCAGGGATTCTACTCTGACGAGCAGCCAGGCAATGTTGGATCTGATAGATATCATTCAACCGGGGAGTATAGGCTATGATATGGTGGCAGCGGGGATTACTCCTGAGGTGAATTGCTTGATCACTGTTTTACCAGTTACCGTTCACCGTTGATCACCCATTTTGAATTGAAAAATATAATAATCACGAGGCTACATAACATTTAATCACTTTTTTAGCACAATTCTAATGTTTTACTCAACAGGATAAGTTGGAGAATGCCCGTTACTGTTTAACTATGGCGAGAAAGATTGGAGCTACAGTATTTGCACTGCCCGAGGACATTATTGAGGTAAATTTGACAATTACATAAATGAGACCGACATTCAAATAGTTCTCGTTCGACTTTAATCGAATTTTTTTAAATCAAATCGATAACATAAAGTTTACGACGAAGGGCATATATTCAAAATAAATCATTTCAGGGCAATAACAAAATGATAGGACTTGTTTTCGCTAGGCTGATGAAAGTTGGTGCCAACCTGTAACATAATCCTGGAATTTTCATAAGGAAAGATGAACTCTTCAGGCGAACGCTATTTCGTCACATCCTCTGCTTGAATAATGGACAATATCTATCAATTCGAATTACGAATGGAGCTTTTTGTTTACAAATCGGGGAATTGACTGCTGTCCTGTTTGGAACAATGTTAATAATAACAATGTAAAAAGGGCGTTTAGTATCATATTGGGAGCCGTGATATCAGTTACAAATTAAGTTAATTTGTATTATCTGAACTCGAAAGTAAGTTGTCGTGAGTATGCGATTGCTGTGTTTCATGTTTTTTGTAGACACGTGCAAGGTTAAGAAATTGTTTAGATTTAAGCTGTTCTGTTAGCTTTCAAATTTAAAATATCTGTAGACTGTATAACTCTTATTCAGAATTTGATAAGATAATACAATTACATATATTCGATCTGTCAATATCATGATATATTTTAAATGACTTAAATGCAATGCTTAAGTTTTCAAAGAAATATCGTATTAATTATAATCCCAAATAAAAATAAATGTCGTCTGGTTGCAGTGAAATTCGTTTTAAAACTCTCCAAATATTCTAAAGATTGCTCTCGGTTAAGCAGTTACATAAATTTAATAAATCTTGAAACTGAAGCGTTAAACAGCTGTATTTTCATCGACTTGAAGAGTCGATGTAAATTTTAATACAACTAGCAAGATTATATATAAATATCTATCTCCTTGACATAAAAGTTGTTCATGAAAGTGTACGATTAAGAAAATTGAGTAGAGTGTAGAGTGAGATTAGAAACTGACGCTGACACTTTGAGCTCGTACTTGGAATTACTAATTAATTTTATCTCATGAGACTAGTTAACAGAACCAGCACCGTCAACACATGCAGACTTCTTTTTTCGGACGAGTTTTCGTAGCCAGGAATCTCACCATTACACAAATCATGTTCATCACAAGTCGGAGAATAGGAGCACTTAACCAACTCCGTATCTATTCCGTACTTCTCTGATTCCCTGGTCAAGGAAGACTGTAGAATGGGGGCCACGCCCTCGCAGGACACTTTCCCGGGGGCGCAGGATTTCCACAGCAACTCCAGGTCTTTATTCTCAACCCGGAAGTGGATCCGGAATGAAATACAGGAGTCAGTTTCGTAGCCATTTGCGCAAGTTTCTGTGTAGTCCGTAGAACACGCTGAAATTATGATAAATTATAATCTAGATCTTAGTCACTTGACTTTATTCGTATGGATGATATTGGAATTGTGTTCATAAACGTAATTTATAAGGTTCACATTACACAATTGAACTTCTGGACGAAGATCTGGAAAAATCAAAATCAAATTCTGTTATGATTGGTTTTTAATTTTAGGTTAAAATTTTGTACCAGACACTGACAAGTAATACTGAATAAATTAATAAATTATCATCAATAATTAACATTATTCGTTAATTAATATTAATCGTTGTATACTTAAACGTTGAACTCACATTGCGTAGTCTTAAGTGAAGCGTATTTAGATTCCAGTTGGGTACCGTTCAAGTATTGGAATTCCTGACACTTGTAGCAGACGATGCCCGAAACAGGACATGTTAGGATTATTGCGGTAAGGAGAATTGTCACTATTTGGAGATTCATGACCCGGATCGCTCAACAAATTTAAGTATAATCCTTCCTGTATAAATATTTTATTTTAAGCGCGAATAATTTCAAGCTACAATTAGAATTGGCTTGAGTTGTGATAATTGAGAAAGATTACTGAAATCAAAACATTTTCCGAATTGAGTTGAAGATCTTAATTAGATAAAACGGAATATAGATTCGGAGATGCGGAGATCAAGAAAGATTTATGTATATCATATTGTCGGGGAGATTAATCACAAGCTATATTAATATATTATGATGTAGCCTAAGGCAGGTAAGGTATAATGTATTCGTTTGGGAATGGAAGGGCTAGAACTTCGGGATAAAGTAGGATATTAGTTAAATTTATCAACGTAGCTAGACTAAATGAGTAGACAATAATTACATGAAATTGTTGTTTTCCGGTAACAGAGCAAGTGAGCAGTTTAAGATTCGACAGTGATTTAAACGGTAACAGACGTAAATTTGAACTCGGAAAATTAAGACATGTATATTTGATGGTTATAATATTTATGATAATAGCACCTGGCTTAGGCTACTAGTAGTAGTGCCTAAAATTAACACGTGACTTTTGAGGCCGAATGAAACTGTCATACCTTAACCTACAAGTAGTAGTACAATGTACGCATACTGCTGGAAATCAAAAATAAATCGATTGTCATACTTTAGTCTCAGGGTTCTTCAGTACGCGATTTTTAAAAAATTATGCGAGGGAATCTATAGTAAAATTAGAACACAAAAGCGCGGAAAGTTGATACACCGACACGTTGCATTTCCCTTTTTGCCGGCTATTTTATATTTCGCCGGCCGTGCGGCGTGCACGCTTCGAGTCACGTACGAGTGCACGAAAGGGATATTTCATATTGCATATATAACGTATACTTGTATGCTGTAGCAAGGGGATTGGGAGAGTGAGACTTAACGTATAAGTTACGGCTAAGCTTTGCCTTTATAAGTTTATATAAACGCATATTGACGGATTATTAAAGCAACACGTCCGAACTCTCTGCAGTCTTAAATTAATGCAAATGCTAGCCGCGTTATGAAGCCGAAGGAGCAATTTTTGACATTTAAATAAGATGCTATCAAGTATCAATTTATAAACGTTTGCGTGTCAATATTATGAATTTGATAACTTCCCAAACAGATTTAAAATCTTGGGCGTGGTTTTTTGGCGAATTTTAAAGGGCTGTCATGTGTCGTGTCGAGCGTGCTAAATCACTTTACAGCCGATCTTAGAGATTTTTTGATCTTAGAGATTTTTCTAAAAGAGATAAACTTGGATCGATGTATTTTCGCAAGCTGATTCTGAATCACCACCATGACATAGGATTACTCAATTAGTATTAAAATGCTCTTCTACACCCTAGCGAGATATTGGCGAAAAACTGTCTCGATCACGTGATATGACCATACAAAGAAGTTGGTATAATTTCTCGTTAGGGTTAGGGTTTCAGCATATGCTTTTGTTAAAGATTGGGTGAAGGTTAGGGCTGGGATCAGATTAGAGACTAGGATCATTTCGATTAGTCATTCAGGGCCACACCAAAAGAACGTGTTTGTGTAAATTTTAAAATCTTTCAATAATGCCTATTTCAACATTTTTCAAAATAATCCCTTAAACAAATTTTAAAAGTTTGTGTTCGCTCGAAATCTTTAAGTTTGGGATGAGAAAATGATAATATTAATATATGTCATTAACTTTCGTGGGATTGGGAAAGCAGAAAAACTAATCGAAATCGAATGAGCAAAAAATTCACCTTTCGCACGTGTAAACTTTAAGCGGACGTTGTCAGTTGTGTGCGCATCGAATGCATGACGCATGTGCATCGTAAATTTGATATGTGTGCAGTATTTATATACTTTAAGTTTAATAAGCATGTGAAGTTTCAAAAGATTTTGAGTAGAGTACTCTAATCACAACGGAACTCCAAAGTCGAGAAAAATCGTGAAAATTGGAACTTTCATTGATTTTAGCGATTTCCCCCACGTAAGTAACTTTCCGATTTTCTACTCCTTAATATGTAATAGTAATAAATCAATGGTGTGAAATCGACTTCAGAAGCTGTCATTTTGTCAAAATTAAAAATCGATTTTGAAAATCACTCAACTTGATGACGCGTCTCCAAGTGGTGATAATGACGTCATACTCCTATTAGTTAAACAATCATATTCAAGATTTGTGATCCAAGATGGCCATATCTTTTGTAATTGTTAATATACAGACATTTGAATATAATTATAAGCTACAATCAAAAGGTGAAAGCGTGATCTCTGATCCCTGATAAATATACATTAAATATGAAATGAAATAGGTATTTATATATATGATTAACCAACAACACAAGGAAGGTGGTTAACCATGTCAGAACTGTGAGTGATGTGAGCAAATGTGTAAAAGTGAACAAAAGTAGAAGTATAACTCATGATAAGGCTAAGACAAAATGTTTGTATTTGGTGTCTTCAGCATGAAATGGTCACCCGGGATCTTTTCGACCTGGTCGCGGTGTTTAAAAGTTTTGTTGGTTGACGATGTCAACCCATCGAGATCGTTGCTCTGCGAGAATGCTAGCAAGAATGCTAGTTCGCGCGGCGCGTCGAAGCGGCGAAGTCCTCCAAAAAGTTTTGTATCCACTACATCCACATCCATATATGATATATATTTATCGAATACCCAGAAAACCTTACCGCCTGCTGGGCTTGCTAGAGGTGACAGATTTTCAGCAGCACGTTTGGCGTCGCGCGTCACATCGAGTTTACCTTTCGCACGCTGCATTTAGTTTAGTAGTCATGACAACGACATGACTTTGCAAAGTTTAAAAGCTGTGACCTTTTATTTAGCCAAAAATCAAACTTTTCGGTTTAATTCAGAATCTAAGTTGTCCCAAATTGTGCTCCTGGGGAGCCTCCTTAAAATTTACGAGACGGACATTTTGTTGAAAACCGGAAGGTTCTATTTATTTTACTTTTGGAGATATTCCCCGGCTGGTAGGGTTTGCTGGGCCTATAACCTACGCGCGTTCAACTTCAAAAGAATTTGCACTTTCATTTTAAAACGTTCACTTTGACGAACCATAACTTTCCACCAATCAAGTCAAATTTCAATTTTAATATATCAAAAGAAAGTAGAGAATTTCGCCAACAAGAAAGGGGATTCCTGGATGGGTAGGTAAAAACGCGATCTACGCCCTCAAAATCGACTTTTAAAACTTCATACTGCATATTCCGCCGAAATTATAAGTCTTATAATTATATCGCAAAACATCCCCCTATATTACCTCCCTGCAACTTCCCCCCTTCCATTTCTCCCCCCTTCCTTCTGCTTTCTTTTGCAGCTGAACTATGAACTCTCAATCTCATGCAGCTCTCTTGCCTACCCAGAAAACCTTACCGCCTGCTGGGCTTGCTAGAGGTGACAGATTTTCAGCAGCACGTTTGGCGTCGCGCGTCACATCGAGTTTATACCTTTCGCACGCTGCATTTAGTTTAGTAGTCATGACAACGACATGACTTTGCAAAGTTTAAAAGCTGTGACCTTTTATTTAGCCAAAAATCAAACTTTTCGGTTTAATTCAGAATCTAAGTTGTCCCAAATTGTGCTCCTGGGGAGCCTCCTTTAAATTTACGAGACGGACATTTTGTTGAAAACCGGAAGGTTCTATCTATTTTACTTTTGGAGATATTCCCCGGCTGGTAGGGTTTGCTGGGTATTAAACACTTCGCAAATTTAAACGACGGGTTACGTCAATCAAGCATGATATCTTCATTGAAATTCGATTTTTAGAGGCCACGCCCAATCAACGTTGAATTGCTTATATATAGTTATATATTAAAGTCACTATTGTGACGGTACAT